TTTTTTTTACTATATATTCTCCAAAAAAATTACTGTTTCAAAATATATTTTTCCTAAAATTTGTCCTTTCCGGTACTATTTGACTTGGAACGAGATCAATTAGAATATTGTAGTTGGATGCCCAATTTTCCAAAAATGGTTGACCAAATGAAAGACACAAAATTGGGAGAACTTATCTAAGTGGTTCAATTTTTTTTTTTTTTTTTGAAAATAATTGTATGATAGTGGACTTAGGTGTAGTATATATGTGTAATGTAACTTAATTGTTCTTTAAGTACATTGAAGAACAAAAAAAATTATAATTATTTTATAAGTGAATGTGTCCTCAAATTGTAGTGTTTTTAATTTAAATTTGATTTGCGTGAATTGAGAGCACCTAACCGTCACTCAAATTGGCCATCAACAACCAAATCCCATTATAACATTGCCGGAGAGCCACCTCTCGTCATTTACATCCCATTATAATATTGATCGTCGAATAAAGTAAATATCTAATATTTTAACAAATCCCATCTCGTGTCGAGAAAATAGAAAAGGAAAAGGAGAAAGTCATTCCATTAATCTCTCCATTTATTATAGTAAATTGATTAATATAAAACAAGCACAAAACGATGTGATTAGATGAAAGATAATGAAGGGTCAAACCCATTTTCCATGCTAAACGTTCTAATCAATGACCCCCAATATGGGATCCATAGTCCCAACTTCAACCAACATTTGGAATATATTATTTTGTAGTCAAGATTTCCTTATATTGCATTAATAGTGGGAGGTTTGTATTCAACTAGAACAATTACTAAAAAATAAAATATGTAGTATTCATTGCATTTATACTTGATCATGAAATGTCTCAAAATAGGTAATTTGGTAACCTTGCAAATTTAAGAAGAATTAAAACTATCTACCTTCATGTAACTCATTTTGTTTAGGATTTAAAAATCCATTAAAGTTACCTCCAAGAGTGATGTTATGTATGTAGAACTACGGGTACTTAATTCATACGATGAATTAATGGAGTCCGCTACCAAGTTCAATACTAATACTGAGTAACAGTGTGTTACATCATCAACCCAATATTCTTTAACGAAGGATTGTCAACTCAATGTGATTTCATTTTTCCATACAAACTCCATTGTCCATGATAATCTTGGATTTTATTGTGTGATGACACAAGTCTAGCTGAATTTGAGAATCGCATTCCAACAACCCATATTTTAAGTGTCATATTCTTTTCTAGGTCAAATAAGTTTGTAGATTGATAAGTATGAAATGATTTTTTGTATTCTTTAGAACGTGTAACGAGAGTGTTTACATTTTGGGGAACTCAAAAATCTCGACTTTTATTGTGTGACATTGAGATCTTTAGCAAGGGATTTTTTGATCGCAAAAGTCCCATTTTTAAGTGTCACCCTCTTTTCTAGTCTAGACAAAGAAGTTTGTAGATTGCTAAAGATTGGTCTTTGTATTCTTCCAATACCCATAAAGAGTGTATACCTTTTTGGGGCCTCAATAATCTTGAATTTTATTGTGTGATATTGAGATCGTTAGCAAGGGATTTTTTGATCGCAAAGTCCCATTTTTAAGTGTCACCCTCTTTTCTAGTCTAGACAAAGAAGTTTGTAGATTGCTAAAGATTGGTCTTTGTATTCTTCCAATACCCATAAAGAGTGTATACCTTTTTGGGGCCTCAATAATCTTGAATTTTATTGTGTGATATTGAGATCGTTAGCAAGGGATTTTTTGATCGCAAAGTCCCATTTTTAAGTGTCACCCTCTTTTCTAGTCTAGACAAAGAAGTTTGTAGATTGCTAAAGATTGGTCTTTGTATTCTTCCAATACCCATAAAGAGTGTATACCTTTTTGGGGCCTCAATAATCTTGAATTTTATTGTGTGATATTGAGATCGTTAGCAAGGGATTTTTTGATCGCAAAGTCCCATTTTTAAGTGTCACCCTCTTTTCTAGTCTAGACAAAGAAGTTTGTAGATTGCTAAAGATTGGTCTTTGTATTCTTCCAATACCCATAAAGAGTGTATACCTTTTTGGGGCCTCAATAATCTTGAATTTTATTGTGTGATATTGAGATCGTTAGCAAGGGATTTTTTGATCGCAAAGTCCCATTTTTAAGTGTCACCCTCTTTTCTAGTCTAGACAAAGAAGTTTGTAGATTGCTAAAGATTGGTCTTTGTATTCTTCCAATACCCATAAAGAGTGTATACCTTTTTGGGGCCTCAATAATCTTGAATTTTATTGTGTGATATTGAGATCGTTAGCAAGGGATTTTTTGATCGCAAAGTCCCATTTTTAAGTGTCACCCTCTTTTCTAGTCTAGACAAAGAAGTTTGTAGATTGCTAAAGATTGGTCTTTGTATTCTTCCAATACCCATAAAGAGTGTATACCTTTTTGGGGCCTCAATAATCTTGAATTTTATTGTGTGATATTGAGATCGTTAGCAAGGGATTTTTTGATCGCAAAGTCCCATTTTTAAGTGTCACCCTCTTTTCTAGTCTAGACAAAGAAGTTTGTAGATTGCTAAAGATTGGTCTTTGTATTCTTCCAATACCCATAAAGAGTGTATACCTTTTTGGGGCCTCAATAATCTTGAATTTTATTGTGTGATATTGAGATCGTTAGCAAGGGATTTTTTGATCGCAAAGTCCCATTTTTAAGTGTCACCCTCTTTTCTAGTCTAGACAAAGAAGTTTGTAGATTGCTAAAGATTGGTCTTTGTATTCTTCCAATACCCATAAAGAGTGTATACCTTTTTGGGGCCTCAATAATCTTGAATTTTATTGTGTGATATTGAGATCGTTAGCAAGGGATTTTTTGATCGCAAAGTCCCATTTTTAAGTGTCACCCTCTTTTCTAGTCTAGACAAAGAAGTTTGTAGATTGCTAAAGATTGGTCTTTGTATTCTTCCAATACCCATAAAGAGTGTATACCTTTTTGGGGCCTCAATAATCTTGAATTTTATTGTGTGATATTGAGATCGTTAGCAAGGGATTTTTTGATCGCAAAGTCCCATTTTTAAGTGTCACCCTCTTTTCTAGTCTAGACAAAGAAGTTTGTAGATTGCTAAAGATTGGTCTTTGTATTCTTCCAATACCCATAAAGAGTGTATACCTTTTTGGGGCCTCAATAATCTTGAATTTTATTGTGTGATATTGAGATCGTTAGCAAGGGATTTTTTGATCGCAANTATTGACCTGATTGTTATCTATAATTTTCGAGATTTAAAAAGAAATGAATGGAGCTAAATTGTTTGACTAATGCGTTTGATTGCAATGGTGGAAAGAAAATGTTTTATAGGGAAAATATTTGCCTAGAAAATGTTTTGCATGAAAAATAATTTTAAGTGTGTTCAGGGGCGGAGCCACGTGGGGGCCTGCCAGGCCCCCACAACATTTTTGACAAAATTTTTTTTTTTTAATTTTTTTAAATATTAATTTTTTGTATTTACTGAATCCTTGATTTGTTCTATGTATGTGATTATTTTTAGCTCCAGATTGCTTCAAATGTAGGTGTCCAGGACTGAATCCTTGATTTTTTGTATTTTTGACAATTTTTTTCAAATGTAGGTGTCCAGCTTCGGCTTTGTCGTTCAACTAAAATAAATTGTTTTGATATAAAAAGTCGAGTTATTCAAATATAGATACTTGATAGATCAACAACTCCCATTCAAAAAAAACTTTTCAGGGGTAGCTCTAGAAACCCCCTACTTCAATGGGCTGGCTCCGCCCCTGCACGTACACATGTAAACCTAGACTTGCATACACAAGTAATGAACAATTACACTTGTTATTCTCGATTTCTCTTGATTTTGCACTTGAATTCTTAAGCTTTACAAAGTTGATGCAAACTTTTTTTTTTTATTTTTTGGGGCATGTAATTGATTCTCACTGATAGGAACTAACCACAACTTCCTCAATGTAACACCAACAAGATTCATAGAACGTTACATCTCCTAGGCTGTCAAGCACACGCACGATTGAATTCAAAATATTTTGTCTACTTTTTTATTATACCGAATAATCATTTAAAAGTTTAAACTGCTACGTACAACAGAAATTTATTTGTTTATATTTCCATCATCACTTTTTACGATTAAATGTAATTAATTTTGTTTTTGCAAAAAACCGAACTTTTACAAACTAGTATTTTAGGAATCTGAAGATCATATTATCTGCCAAGTAGTAATATTAAAATTCAACAAAAGTATATACACAACTAATTCAATTTGGGAAAATTCTTGTTTGAGGTTTGACGTGTAATATTATTTTATTGAAAAATGCGTAGTTAAAAAGAAAAGAAAAAGAAAAATGCATTAAATTAAAATGGAGCCCAGACAGAGGCCAAGCTCATTTTTCTTGAAAGTAACAATCGAGTTACTTTCTATGTAACTATGTTTGTAACTTTTAAGCAAATTTATCGTGCTATAAATTGTTTCAAGTCTATCTCTGGTTCAACTCTGTATAAGATATGTAGTAATTTCATTTTTAATAAAATTCCCGACAGACGGTGAACGTTATTTGATTGATGAGACTCTGATCCAATTAAATCTCGAGGATGAGACGTGAGATCACCTCGTGATATTCTTCTTCATTATTCTTGATTAGTTGGGATTTCTCCTTAATTATTTCATGAATAATATGGGATGGCCACCAGCTCGATCCTTCCGCAAGAACATCATGGCTCAAAAGAACAACATTAACCAAAAGTCTGAGAATTCAAAGGCATGCAGCTTAGCATTTGTTAAGGTTTCCATGGATGGTGCACCGTATCTTCGTGAGGTCGACTTGAAAATGTACAAAAGCTACCAAGAACTCTCAGATGCCTTAGCCAAAATGTTCAGTTCCTTTTATAAAATAACTTTTTTAATTATATATGGTTAATCAATTATGCAGTATGTTTGTTGATTCATGCAAGAGGCTTCGCATAATGAAAGGATCAGAGGCAATTGGACTTGGTATACATGAATCAACAAATGCTCAAGAATTAATATTTATGTGCCATTATATATCTTTTTATAAATCGATATCGACTATACATTAAGTAATTTCTTAATGATTTTCTCGTGACTTTCAGCCCCGATGGAGAAATGCAAGAGCCGGCTATAATCGTGCTTACAAAGCTTGTTAGCCACACCGATGGACCTATCGAGGAGTGTGTAACATGTTTTTCTATGCTCCCAATATGTGCGCGCACGTGTTTTTTTTTTTTTTTTTTTGGGTTGTAAAAATATGTGTATTTAATTTGTTTTGCATTATAAAAGGCTCTGATTCTAGCTAGGTTGACAGGGAACATGGCCATGTGCATGTTCATGTTCATGGAAATATTCCTTCATTATCAATTATTTATGATCTTGAAGAAGCACAAAATACTATTACGATAAAATAGTCTTGAAATTGCATAGCTCGGCTCGTCAACTAAAATTCTTACGATAATTTTCCATCGATGTGGAGCTTTGTGCAATCACTTCAATGGTCTAAAATTTAGGCCAACTTTATCCATAATGAACATCGGTATTGAATTATCGAAACGAAATTTGGTCAAAGTATTTGAAATCAAAGTCTAATATTTTGACCTCTACTCTTTTATAGTCTAGAGTGGCAAAAACTCTTTATTTATTGTATTAATGAATATCTTTTAAACATGAAATAAATTATTATGAATCTTTAAAAATGAAATATTGTGAAAGCTTGTCCACAAATTAAATACACGACAAATATAGTGCTATTTTTGTCAAATTTCCTTGTGTCTCACATGAGTTGGTCCAGCCCATTCGCTAGCTCCATCTTCATTGAGCGAAAACCTGCCACGTATCTCAGTGTTCATCTTTTCTTCTATAGGTTTTGTTCGTAGCACTCTGTAGAGTTTTATCGAATCGATTCATACAGAAAACAGCAAGTTATAAACGAAAGATGTCTTCTTTAGGGACTTCGAAAGGAATTCTGGAGATTGCAAAGTTCGCTGTTTACGTCAGTGTTCCAATTGGCCTCATGTATTTCTTTGCTAATAACACCGGGAATCTCCAGAAAGTCATTAACAATGTAAGAATTTATATGTTTATATAGGTGTATACGTAAGTATATTGTCTGTTTGTGGGATTTGTTTGCCCCAACAAAAAACTCTCAGATGCCTTAGCCAAAATGTTCTGTTCCTTTTATAAAATAACTTTTTTAATTATATATGGTTAATCAATTATGCAGTATGTTTGTTGATTCATGCAAGAGGCTTCGCATAATGAAAGGATCAGAGGCAATTGGACTTGGTATACACGAATCAGCAAATGCTCAAGAATTAATATTTTATAAATCGATATCGACTATACATTAGGTAATTTCTTAATGATTTTCTCGTGAATTTCAGCCCAAGAGCCATGGAGAAATGCAAGAGATGGTTATAATCGTGCTTACAAAGCTTGTTAGCCACACCGATGGACCTATCGAGGAGTGTGTAACATGTTTTTCTATGCTCCCAATGTGTGTGCGCGCGCGCGCGTTTTTTTTTTATTTTTTTGTGTTGTAAAAGTATGTGTATTTAATTTGTTTTGCATTATAAAAGGCTCTGATTCTAGCTAGGTTGATAGGGAACAAGGCCATGTGCATTTTCATGGAACTATTCCTTCATTATCAATTATTTATGATGTTGAAGAAGCACAAAATACTATTACGATAAAATACTCTTGAAATTGCATAGCTCGGCTCGTCAACTAAAATTCTTACGGTAATTTTCCATCGATGTGGAGCTTTGTGCAATCACTTCAAAAGTTAGGCCAACTTTATCCATACTGAACATCAGTATTGAATTATCGAAACGAAATTTGGTCAAAGTATTTGAAATCAAAGTCTAATATTTTGACCTCTACTCTTTTATAGTCTAGAGTGGTAAAAACTCTTTATTTATTGTATTAATGAATATCTTTTAAACATGAAATAAATTATTATGTATCTTTAAAAATGAAATATTGTGAAAGCTTGTCCACAAATTAAATACACGACAAATATAGTGCTATTTTTGTCAAATTGCTTCGTACCGCACATGAGTTGGTCCAGCCCATTTACTAGCTCCATCTTCATTGAGCGAAAACCTGCCACGTATCTCAGTGTTCTTCTTTTCTTCTATAGGTTTTGTTCATAGCACTCTGTAGAGTTTTATCGAATAGATTCATACAGAAAACAGCAAATTATAAACGAAAGATGTCTTCTTTAGGGACTTCGAAGGGAATTCTGGAGATTGCAAAGTTCGCTGTTTACGTCAGTGTTCCAATTGGCCTCATGTATTTCTTTGCTAATAACACCGGGAATCTCCAAAAAGTCATTAACAATGTAAGAATTTATATGTTAATATATGTGTATACGTAAGTATATTGTCTGTATATGTTGTACGTGTAATGGATTGTGTTGATTTTATACTACATAGAATCGAGTTAATTTGACAGAGTGCCTTTTATTTTGCTAATGTAAACGATTGATTGTTTGGGCAATCGGTTAATTGGAATTTAATTGAACGCGATCAATATGCTAAATTGAGCCTTTTTATTCTTTTGATTCTCATATATGAGGAGAAAAAAGCTTTGTTCCCAATAGATTTGCAGCCGGCTACATGAATCCATTTTTGCCTTCATTGCTAGATCTATTAAAGAATCCAATATAGAGAATTTTTTCTTGTAATATACATGAAGAAGCTGTTAATTATTTTACATTTTGAGAGAATCACATCAGAAAACTTAAAGTCCTATGTTTGAGTTAATGGAAAACCTTTTATCACTAAATCTGTGAGTTTGGAGAAATAGGAAAATAAGTTCGAGTTTTTAGCAGCAAACATGGTATTGCAGATTGTATGACAATTCACAGCCTGGGATGTTTGAATAATGTATTAGACTAGACAGTGTCATGTTTATAATGCTAATTAATATAGAATTTGATTTCGATATAAATTTTATTTATTATACGCAATCCTATTTGTCTCTTTGATATGTCTTCTAAAGCAAATTATGTTTTGTTGTATTTGCACAGCGTCAGTATGTTGTATATCCCCCTGAAGCACCACGGCCTCCATCACCTGAGGAAATGAGGGAGATGGCAAGGGAATTAGCTCGTAAGAGAGACAGACAGTAATGGATCGTTGGGTCATAAGTAATGCACATTGGGATGTAATTAATGTGGCATCGAAAAACTTGAAGTGCATTTTTGGTACTCGGTAATAGATAGGACTAGTCCGTATGATTAATAAATTTATAGTTTTCTTACTCTCCATTACTATCCAATCACATTTACCAAACATGCCAGAAGTGTACTCTGACGACCATATTATGCTTACATCTATGTTGTGAGTAATAATATAATGTAATGTTTCCTTTACTCCCCTGCTATCTGCTGCTAAATATGAATGAAAAAGAAAAGTGATATTATAGTTCACTCTACTTTATAAGCTTGCTTGGGAGAAATTTTAATAGAATCATAATGTAGAGGAGTAACGGGTCCCATGAAATGTGTTGGATGATAAGCGGATAGCAGTTGTGAATATGTTGTTAAAATTGATGCGTGACTTCAAATTGTAATGAGATTATATACACTTTCATATTTTTAGTTGCTGTATTAGAAAGATTTAGTTGACTTCTTGCAAATTAATTTTTTGCTGTGTAAACTTCTCATGATTACCACTCTGATGCTCCTCCTTTGTTTCACTGGTTCATTTGATATTGTAAACATTATATAATGAAATTTGGGATATTTTTGCTGATGATAAATTATAGAATTTAACCTTTTCTTTTGACTGTCAAGAGTCCTCTGGCTTGAGAGAGTTAACTGAGTAGTTGAAAGTTCCATTTATCTCTTTAGAATACTTTTCTTTTGGTGACAAGTGTTGTATTTGTCATATTTTACATGGATTCTTATAGGAACTCTATCTACTCAACTTTTTCTCCTTTTATTTTCGGGGATGTAAATACTCTGTTCACTTAAATTCTCACGGTTGACTTTTTCCATTTTTTATTTTCTGATTTGCGTATAGCTGTGCACTAACTTTCTTGAATCTTCAATAACTTTTGTCCATATTATCCAACTGAAGTTTGTCCCAAACTGACTGCCCGAAAAGTCTGGAATGATGTTTGTTAATATTATATAACAAGGCAGTGATATATGTTGTGGAGGTTGTAATTGTGGTGTTTTTTATGTCTTCTCAACTGTTATGAACTTCTTGTTTGTTTTGGGAAAGAAGAAAGTTTTTGTTAAGCCTTAGTGTTTAGCTGGTTTTGGCCAAAGCAGTTGGTATTTGGTCCATTGGGAGGTGAACAGTGAGTGGATGTACATGATATAAGGTGGAAGGGGGTTCTAGCTGAGAAATCTTGTTATTTAGGTCACTTTTAGATGATGTAGTTCAACATGGTACTGGAGTAGGTAAAGCCCTGATTCCCGCTTCCCATTTAAGAAATTGTGACTGGATTTGATGAAAAAATGATTTTGGCCTGCACTTGAGGTGGCATATTGAAGCACATCTTTGATAGCTTAAGCTTTTAGACGAGGCTTTCAAGTTACAATTTTCCTCATAGGAGCAAGCCTACACACACACACACACACACACACACACACATGCATATCCTTTTGGTGGAATGTCAGTTGATAAAAGCACAAAGGTATTACATAGACTTAGTGTTTCAGGAACGTCTCTAGTTTCATACGCTTCTGAAGGTTTCTTACTAGCTCTTTGGTCGATGCATTGCGATTTAGCGAGGTCGAGAAATGAGTGTCAATATTCAAATTGCTCTACAAAGAGGGTGGGTATGTAGTAGTTAACTAGTTATTTTTGTTAGTTTGATAGGAAATCTCCTAATCCCATTCTTGAGAATGTTTTTATGACTCGTGAAATTCTCATGCCTGCAACTTTGATGTTCTTACCTCGTTTTAATGGTTCATTAGGTGCTGTTAACGTTATATAATGAAATTGTATGATATTTTTACTGATAGTAAAAGTTACAGGTTTTAGCCTTTAGTAGAAGTTGGTTTGTTTAGTAATTCGTTTGTCACACTTGGTATCACCTTAAACATGATAAAAATCTTGGTTAGTTGGGCATGTCTTGCACAGACGTGACAGACCAGAAAATGCTCTATTTCGTGTAACATTCACTTAAATTTTGTGGAAAAATGCTGCAAGTACAGGGGGGCAAAAAAAAAAAAAAAAATCTACAGAAATTTGAATTTCACTCACAAGGGGAGATGGGAGCCCACATGAATTAAATATTGCTAAAAAAATGGGGACCCACCTGTAGTGTGTATTCTATCCATTTTCTGTGGGTAATTTCCAATACCCATAGCATTGCTCAAATTTGTGTGCTTCTGCCGGGAAAGTTGATGGTAATTTTGCCACGGATTCCTTGCACATTTTTTTGGTGGAATTGGAACTATGCAAAGCAGACAACTTTATGTACTTGTCACATATCGTGTTTGGGATTGGTCGACGAAGTAAACTTCTCTTCTAGAACAGTTATAGGATTACTTGGCTAACACGAAAGGCAAAAGCATAATTTGAGCATAAGCAAGAATATGGGGCCAAAGGGCTTAGTGGAATGTGTCATTGATTTGCAAATGTAAGCTTACTTCTCAAGTTTGTGCAATGCATATTACAGTTCATAAATCAATCCTAAATGCTTTATATGCTTCGGAATCGAATGAATTCTGAAATTTGATTGCACACGACTCTTGGTAACGTCTAAAAGTTTAAGCTATTATAAACTTTCCTTGACTTTATATTACCATGATATAAGATGCAATTCACTTATATTTGTACTACCATAACGTCATAACATCAACCATATTATAAGGCTTGTGATTAAAAAAAAAACACACTAATTTAGAAGGTATCGTAATTTATTTCACTCTACAATCTCCGTTGGGTTTGTTTAGAAGCACGTTCTATTAAGAATTAAGATTCTATCTTAAAATGTCAACCTTATTAAGAGGAGTGACATAATCCTTTTATTAGTTGGTCTATATTTTCATCTTTATTCGTTTGAGCAGACCAATCTTGAAATTCGTATACTCACTTTTTGAGTCTTAACCAGATCAAATTGCTCGTTAGAGCTTAATGGGCTCTAATACCATATTAAGAATTGAGGTTTCATCTTAAAAGGTTAACCTTATTAAGGAGAGTAACACAATCCTTTATAAGTTAGTCTATATTGTCATCTGTATTCGATGTAGGATTTTTATCTCTTAACACATTCGTATAACACTCGACGGTGTTAAGAAAGAGAAATAAGTTAAAATATTGTCATTATTATGACCCTGCCCTTTACAGGATATTTGAATTTTCATTTTGGTACAAATCATAAGGTGCTTAAAGGAAAATAATAATAATAATAATAATAATAATAATAATAAGTTCTATTGAGTTGCTTATGAACTTTGTTGTGGGATTTAGCCATTTCAACTAAAACACAAAGAATAACTTTGAAGAAGAAGAGACAATAATCACATTTTTTCTCTTATTCCAAAATCTCACCTATATTTTGTCAGTATGTGGATCAATCTAAAGGTGGTTGACTTGTTTTGGCTTCTATCCTCCTTTCTTTTAGATGATTATGTAGATAAAGGGTTTTTAACTTTGACTTTTCATTCATTTCCATATTTTCTTGTCGCTAATTCTGCTTAATTTATTGCTACTTTCACATAAAGATTCAATACAATCACATCGTCACAAGCACACTACATTGTACTTCGACTAAATTAAACTTCCACCGAAGATACATTTCTTTCATACGTCCAAGTCGATCGTCGGTAGGCCTTATATTCTTTAATTATATAAGAAAGAGGGACAAAGTCAAGATAATTTTCAAAATGTCTTTGTTTGTGCTCATAAATTATGCATCCTTGCAAGAAACTTTAGTGTCCCTATGACATGCGGTGATTCATTTATATTTCATTTCTTGAGAAAGACATTGAAGAAGAATAACTTTCAAGAACCACTTCTTTCGCATGTTCACGTTGAGTAGTTGTAAGTTTTTTGTTCATGGTCGAGCATTTAAAAAAGTAAGGAATATTTAAGAAGAAGATACACCTTAAAGTTCTTGCCCACAAGTAAAGTGTTCCATATTTAAACCTAATGAAGACTATCGTATCATCTTCTCTAAATTGTTAAACTAATGGGATGAGTCAATGTAAAGGTTTCTTGTGGATTATATTTCGTGTGTATCCCTCCAAAGCAATAAGACACAAGTCTATTTTTTTGGTAGAGAAAATTATCAGTTCACATCTAGACTCAATTCAACTCAGATTTTACTTGATTTGCTAAGATAAGAGCTCAACATGACCAATCAAAAATGCCACAATCTCAATAATTCTTAATTTATTCGCTTAAATTCTCCCTCTCATCCTACCCCATCGGAGAATCGAGACGGGGATGGAGAACATGATCCTCGCACTGAACCCAACAACTCTTATTTTACATATTTTTTATATTTTTAATTTTGGATTTATTAAAAAAAAAACTAAAAATAAAGATAAGGGAATAGTTTAATCCCTACAACGTCTCGTTCCCATTGTGTCTCCTGAAAACTCTTGATGGGATCGAGACAAGGAGGCTGCCTCGTCCATTGTCGTCCCTACTTAGAGGATTGACGCACCTTTACACTTCTAAATAGAGGTAAGCCAAGAACACAATTGTGCTAAATGTATATGGCAAAGGTACAAAAAAAGATGTTTATGGTACCTAATGGCAAGTTTGACACTATAAGTTGAATAAGATGAGTTATAGATTTATGATACATCTCTCTTATTTCATATCGGAGCAATCATAGCTCCTGTTTGATAGAAATTAAATATTTATTTTAATTTAAGTCAAAGTCATCAATTAGTTTTAATCACATATTTTATGGGTTCCAAACTTTTCAATCACACATTTCATCAATTTCTATCAAAATTTGCTAAAAAATTGATTTTAACCCTTATCGAATAGGGCATAGTGTCATTATTCTAAAACCTTGAACCATGAAATAGGAGCTTTAAAAACCGTAGGAGAAAAAGAAAAAGCACGAACGGCACTTTTCCACGGCATGCGGGGATTGCATTCATTTTATGAAAACGAAGAAATGAATATAAGTTATTTATTATTATTTTTCGAAAAGACGATGGTTATTTTTGCAAGTTGTACACGTATAAAAGAAACTTAAAAGTCATGGAAAAAATATGAATTGAAATTTTAGCATTCATATGTCTAATTAGTCATTAAAGAACAATCAACAAAAAATCACAATCATTTAGGATGCACAAGGTAACATAGAAAGTGACTTTCAACTATAACTAAAGAACAATCAACAAAAAATCACAATCATTTAGGATGCACAAGGTAACATAGAAAGTGACTTTCAACTATAACTTGAAGTTGTCTTTTGGAACACACTCCCCAACCCAAGTTGGGTTGGTGATTCTCAGAGATCAAATCTTGAAGTACTAAAAGAATTTGAAACAAGACGGTCTCTTGCATATTTTGAAACAAGTATACAAAGTGCTTCGAAGTAAGGACTAAAGCAAACCGTCCCAAAAAATCAACAATGTGGCATCGACACTATATAAGCCCTTACTTGTCTCTCATTCTTTCAAAATTCTTTTTTCTACGTACTCATTTTCAACCACATATTCATGTAATAAATATTCTATACGAAAACTCAAAATTTTTTCCTACTTTTTAACAACACAATTTTCGAAAATTCACTATTCAAAACAACATTTTTCAGGAAAAAGGACACCAAACGGAGCATAATCTTCTACAAAGAATTCATTTTAATGCCCTAGTGATTTTCTAAAAGTTACTATGACAAAAACGAGTTTCGAAACATTGAGAATGAACTATATAGAGAATGGAACATGGGTTGATGTGCTAAGTTAACGAAAAAACGTGTAAGTTTCCATCGAGTCAAGACCTAAATGCTTGAGTTTTAAAGGGCTGGGAACTCAAGTATTATATTTAACTTAGGCCCTGTTTGATGGCCTTGATTTTCCATGGAAAATGGAATTTTCTCACTTTTTGGCTGTTTGATGACAATAATTTTCCATGGAAAATTTTTTCCCCCCAACCTCCCACGCGCCTTATTTCCTTGTTTTGAATTTTCCACGAGGCTGTCAAATTTTTTTTTTTTTTGGGCAATAGAAACAAATGTCATAACCAAGTGGAAAAAAAAAATTCACTTTAATTGACAATTTTCATGTAAAACAAAATCAAACGAACACTAAACTTTGATGAAAAAAATAATTTTTTAAGAAACAATTTTTTTTTCCTTTTTTTTTTTTTTGTTTTTGGATATGGAAACAAATTTTATAACCAATTGTGGAAAAAATTACCACTTTAATAGACACTTTCCATGTATTTTTTTTTTTCCTTTTTGGATATGGAAACAAATTTTATAACCAATTGTGGAAAAAATTACCACTTTAATAGACACTTTCCATGTAAAATAAAGTCAAACGAATAGAAAATTTAAAAATTTTACGGGTGGAAAATTATACCAATCAAACACACTTAATTACTAATTCCCTGAAAAATATTTTCTATGCAATTATTTTTCCTGAAAATCATTTTCTTTCCACCCATTTTCCACTCTTGCAATCAAACGCACCTTTAGAATCCCTTAGAATCGTTCTTAGTAATAATTTTTCCTTAAAGAAAGTAAGATGGTCAAACCTAAGTTTGAAAAGTCAAAGTTGGCATTCAACTTCTACATCATATATAATAAATAAAAATAAATAAATCACACATAAATCGATTTTTTTTTCTTTTTTAATCACACATTCTCAAAAAAAATTTACTATCCAAAACTTATTTTCATCCAAATTTCCATTAAAATGGAGCCCATTAGTGATCAAGCTCAGATTTTTAGCAAATTTTAATAAAAATTGATAGAATGTGTGGTTGAAAAGTAGTGAATCATATAAAATGTGATGTTAAAATTAATTATTGATTTATTTTAACCTAGAAAATAATTAAATATAATTTAAAAACAATTAAACATAATCATGAAATTTGAAAGACAAAATATAAGATTTAAACTCTAGTACACACATAATTAAAGGGAAAAAATAGTAAGTCGATCAAGAAAATTCCAAATCAGATTACATGGCAGGTACAAAAGCATTAGTTTAATTAAAATATTAATCAATTCAATGACATTGAAAAACTAAAAAAATGAAAAATAAAATGAAGTGCAAGAATTTAGTCTAGAGAGAAATGAATATCAATGCCCTTAGCAGCAATTCCTTGAATAAGTGTAAGACCCACCTGAGAGTATTAGTACAAATAATGGCAGTAAATTTTGAAAATAAAAAAGATACATTTTTTTAATTAACAAACAAAAAAATGATAGTTGGGAAGATATATAGTCAAATTAATAGTATATATATAAAGTAATGACTGTGATGTATTTACGTGATACATAAATGAATATGATAAGTTTTATGTTATTTATATATATATATTTTAGAAATATTTCTATTTTCAATTCTTGTGTGCATATGATAATTCGAATTTAAAGAATTTATAAGTATAATTTTCGTTTTTCTTCCACCAATCAATTAACCTTACATAATTTGAAATTCTCACCAATGCGAGACCTCAAACGATCGCCTACGTCGTATATAGTGAGAGCTGGCCCTCTATATTTTCTCCCTCAAGATTGGCAAAACAGCAATTAATCAGTAAAATGAGGTCGGAAAATCCTCAAATAAACAAATGTATAGTTGTACACGAAATCCTGCTATTTTTACGTCTGGCATATTCAATGCCGATTGCCACGGCGGGCTTACAATTAAAAGTTCGATGAGGTGGTTGCAACCCCCACCCTACTCCACCCCATCCCCTCTTTTCAATTTTCACACAGTACACACACTCAATTCTTTCTATAAATTCTTAGCTTTTTCCATTTCTCATTTACTACAAAAACTTTAATCACTAAAATCTTTCCTTTTTACATTCTTTTTACAATTTTGATTTGTGGGTTTTGTTCTGTTGATCATCAATGGGGAATGAGGATTTGAAGAACCCCGAACCGCAAAAAATTTCGGTCGAACGAGGGAATAATCTCCCCAACTTTCTTCTTTCTGTTAGGCTTAAATATGTGAAACTTGGTTTTTATTACTTAATCTCAAATGCTGTGTACTTACTTTTAGTTCCACTTTTAGGGGCTGTTTCAGTTCAACTTTCTACTGTTACTGTGGAAGATTTAGTCCTTTTAAGGAACCAATTGAAATTCAATCTTGTTTCTGTGATTTTGTGTTCTTCTTTCATGGTGTTCTTGGGGACACTTCATTTTATGAGTAGGCCTAGGAAGGTTTACTTAGTTGATTTCGCATGTTATAAGCCGGAACCCGAGTTTATGTGCAGTAAAGAAGTTTTTATGGAGAGATCAAAACTTGCAGGGACTTTTACAGATGAAAATTTGGCCTTTCAGAAGAAAATCTTGGAGAGGTCAGGTTTGGGGCAAAAGACGTATTTCCCCGAAGCGCTTTTGCGAGTTCCAGCTAATCCTTGTATGGCTGAGGCTAGGAAGGAAGCTGAAATGGTTATGTTTGGTGCCATTGATGATTTGTTGGCGAAAACTGGGGTTAAGGCTAAGGATATTGGGATACTTGTGGTGAATTGTAGTTTGTTTAATCCAACACCATCACTTTCTGCTATGATTGTTAATCATTACAAGCTTAGAGGCAATATTTTGAGCTATAATCTCGGTGGTATGGGGTGCAGTGCTGGACTAATATCGATCGATCTTGCTAAACAAATTTTACAGGTTTGTTACTTTCTTCACTCTTTGCCTTCCATTGCTACATCATTTGATCACGACAAACTGTTTGGGATAGCGGGATAGTTTCTGCTTCTTCTTCTGCTTTTGATTTTGATTTTTGTAAAAGAGCATCTTGAGTAAGTTACCTTGGGTCAGCTTGATTGAATAGCTCTTCTAACCTAGGCCAAAAATCGTTTCGTAGTCTCAGTAGCAACTTTTTGCTTGCCCCATCAAATGGGCCATTCTTATTCCTGGTAAATTTGGGGTCGGCTTTCACGAGTTTGTTAAGTTCATAACTTGAAACACTTGGACTAACTCTCCATGTATCAATGTAACAGGTGAATCCCAATTCCAATGCTCTTGTAGTGACCATGGAGAACATAACACTGAATTGGTATTGGGGCAACAACCGATCAATGCTCGTGTCGAATTGCATTTTCCGGATGGGCGGAGCAGCGATCCTACTATCAAACAAGTCGTCTGATCGTAGACGAGCAAAGTACCAACTAATCCACACTGTTCGTACACACAAAGGAGCCGATGATAAGAGTTATGGTTGTGTGTTTCAAGAAGAAGACAACTCAAAAGAAATTGGTGTAGCATTGTCTAAAAACCTAATGGCCGTTGCTGGAGAGGCCTTGAAAATTAATAATTCAACTTTAGGGCCATTAGTCCTTCCCATGTCTGAACAATTATTGTTCTTTCTTACTCTTGTGGCAAAAAAGGTTTTCAAGATGAAAATTATGCCATATATACCGGATTTTAAGCTCGCGTTCGAGCATTTCTGCATTCACGCAGGAGGAAGAGCGGTATTGGACGAACTTGAGAAGAATCTCGAGCTTACTGAATGGCATATAGAGCCATCAAGAATGACACTTTATAGGTTTGGTAACACTTCTAGTAGTTCATTGTGGTATGAATTGGCCTATACTGAGGCTAAGGGGAGGATTAAAAAGGGTGACAAAACATGGCAAATTGCCTTTGGATCAGGTTTTAAATGTAATAGTGCTGTGTGGAAAGCACTGAGGATTATCAATGCAGCCAAGGAGAAGAATCCATGGATGGATGAGATTAATGATTTTCCAGTTGAAGTTCCAAGAATTGCAACCATTAATTCTTGAAAGAAAAAAAAGAAAGCTCTTCTTTTTTTGGGTGGGTGGGTGGGTGGATGGGTGACTGGCTATTTTGTAATATGAAAAGTATATATAACTGTTATTTTGAATTTAAGAAATCACAACTCTTTATAATGTATGTCGTATCATTTATATAGAAATGAATCACATTATTTTTAATGTTTGTTTGAATTCAACTAATAATGTGCTTAAAACATAGCAAAAACAGTAAAACCAAAATTTCATGAGTTGTGGAATTTAGAAATCCCATTACCTTAAAAGACTCTTCCCAACATTTATACTATTCATAGTTGAGTTCCTCGTTTTCCCATTACCTTATCTCCAAACTGGTTCATAAATATCTTCTTTATTTATAATATAATTCTCATTTCGCAATATCTTCTCTTCCTTTCCCACAACTTCACAGAGTCACAGAAATATAATTCTCATTTCCCAATATCTTCTCTTCCTTTCCCACAACTTCACAGAGTCACAGAAACCACCGAAGAAGCGAGAAACAAAAAATTATAGAATCCTGTAGTTCAAATACACTTCTGCCGACATCTTTTCCCGTAGGAAAATTCGAATCCACCAAAGAAGAGGATATTTTCTTCAGTTTTTACAATTTCTTCATTTCCAGATTCCAAAGTGTTGATAAAATTAAATTTATTAGTTTGAGAATTATTAGGTTTTTTTTTTTTTGTTGTTTATTTATTGATGGTTTACTAATTGAAACAGGCAAATACTATCACAAGAGTGCAAGAGGTTTGGTCTTCAGAGCGCAAGAGGTTTAGAGTACCTCTGGGAAGTTTGACAAGGTTCCTATTGTTGTATATGTATTTCGAATGGATTTATGATTTCAAAGCAGTTCCCTTTGTTTTCTTCAACCGTTGGCGGTGGTTTGGCTCTCTGCAAATAGTTTTGATTTTCTCCATAACCACTTCCAATTCCTACACCCACAACACAATCTAATTCTGAATTTTATTAACGCCACCTCAAAAATAAACCATAAATACTTAGTTTCGTAATTTAGCAGCATCTTTTGTGGAGTCGAGTTATATTCGGATGTAAGCATATGGAAGTGATGAATGAGGTGTTTGTATGGGTCCAATCGAGGCAATCTTGGGAAAAAGATGTAGTGTAATAATAAATTGTATTGCAAGATAGGAATAATAAAGTGAGATTTCTATCTATTGGGCTGGGAAAATGAGATAGGTAGTTGAAGTGAACTACATTTTTTTTTATTATAGCATTGATGAGATAGTGTTGTTTCTTCAAGAAGTATTATGTGCTAGATTTAATTTCCCAGTTCCAATTTGCATTGATAAGATAGTGTTGGTGTTTCAAGAAGTATTGTGTGTTAGATTTAATTTTCCTGCTTACACTATGTTGAGTAATATTAGAATACATAAAATTCATGGAAGTCAAATTACCCAAAGGCTTTGTTATGTGATTAAGAATTATAACATATGGTTTAAATAAATTACTTAAATAAAGAAATTCAATGAGTACTTCAAACCGCGGAGACTTTATTTTAAATGACAACCTTATTTGGTTGTTATTTTAGCCGCCAAACTGTTAAGTGTCTTATAAATTTCAGGGACTTAATTGGAGAATTGTGTAATAATAATTTTGTGGATTTTATTAGCTTTTCCTACTGGATTTCAATCAATCTTTAGTAAACTGTATTGTTTGATATTATTTGACAGATAGTATTGCTTATATTTGTTTTCTTTAATTTCAAATAGTGAAACTAATGTGGAAATAGAAATATGGTAAATATTTAATGGAATCTCCGAGAATACATCTTAAACAGATTCACTGGATCTCAATCTTCTAGCCAACAATCTCTAAATTGTGGGTTGCAATTTGACATTTCTATAAATAAATTGAGAATGCACATGCAGCTATGTCCTTCATCACTATGTAAGTCAAAATCAAATAAGCCATCCTCTTCATGAAAATTAGTGTAGTTGCAAGATATTCTTCCTCGCGAATAGTAGCCAACTAATCTGAACAGGAATATATTGTTTTAACTATAGAAAAGAAAATATGCAAAGTAGCTAACTTTTAATAAACAAAAAAACAAGAATGAAACAATTTTGGATGCTCAATCTCATTTTGTACTTGCACACTCTCGTTAGCTGAAATAGTTTCCATGTTTATTTTGGAATCCTCCATTTCGTCCAACTACATCCCGAGTGTAAGGAGGGGTTTGTTATAAAATATCTTACACTCCTCCCCAAAGAAGATTGTTTTTAGAGTAATATCTACAGTAATTTCCTGTCAAAACCAACTTTGCCCATAATGCATAAAACTGCTAGACAAAACTGATTGAATATAGGGTAATCTTCCGTCCTTTAGATAATAACTGTTGGTTAAAAATTACTTGCCGAAAATGCCACTTGATCACTTAACCTGTAAATTGTAGTTATGTCGAGGCAAAGAAAGCCGCATTTTCTATACACACAAAGCTAATTTAGGTGTCAACCTATGCCAATTAAAGCAAGATAGGTCTTCGCACAATCTGTTTTAAATTTTTGTGACGTGGGTGTTGAATCCACATAAAGTAGAACCTAAAATACATGAAAACTATGCATTTAATTTAATACAAAGAAGTCTCAAGAGACTACCTGCTTTGGATAATTTTCTCAATTAGTACTTTTTTTACTGAATATAAATAATAGGACGTCTGTCATTAGTCCGCCATTTTATATTTTTTTCATTTTGAACTTTATTTGCGTTTTCATTTTCATTGATAGTGGAAGTCATAGAAACTAATAATTCTTTCCTGTTTAGAAGTTCTTTTCATTTACTTATAATTCTAAATCAAAATTAACTTTCTATTCGTGTAATTTAGTACTATTTCTATGTATGTAATTTGAGTTATTAAAACGCACGTCATGAATGTATTTTATAATATTTTCTCTTGGTTAAATCTTTGATTCTTTTCTCCCGGTATTTTTAGTTCCTGTTGGTGACTTCTTCCTAAGTATTAACTCATTTAGTCCTTTGATGGATTCTTCAACGATCTCTATTGATGGAGAATCTACTATTGTTAACCATGAGACTACTCTTCCAAACACAAGTGAGGCATACAATGCATTTATTCGTCAACAACGAAATCAAAGACAAAGGGATTGGAGAAATCGAATCAAAACTGGACGTGGCTAACTGATGCAGTATTATCTGGAAGTACTAATTTCAATTCTACCCATGCGAATGAAGCAATATTACATCATGAGGCTTCTACTTCAAATCAAGAAACAACTGATGTTTTTGAATATGTAACACTTGTGAACATACCAACTACTACATATATATTACCAACATGTACCTATTGTAATCATTGTGATGCACGAAAATTTCATAGAGAAAGTAAAGGTTTTTGCTGTTTGAATGGAAAAATTAAACTTTGTATGCCTGATTCACCAATTGAATTATATACTTTGTTTACTTCTAAAGAACCCATTTGTATGGAATTTAAGAAAATTTCGAGAGGGTATAATAACCATTTTGCATTTACTTCTTTTGGTGTAAAGTATGACAAAGAACTTTTTAAAGTATATAAAGGTATTTATACATTTAGAATTCAAAATCAAGTTTATCATTATGCAAATCAACTCATGCCAACAGATAGTATGCCTTGTTCTATGCAATTATATTTTTATGATACGGATAATGAACTTGAAATGAAAAATTCAAACAATTTTGTTGAAGTCACTCTACTTATCTTAATTGAAATCCTGAAAGTAAATCCTATAGTATATTCTTCAAGTCTTTAAGTAATATGAATAATTTGTACGATCATTGTATCCACATAAGATGCCACTCAGGACTTGATCAAAGAGTCTTTAATATCTGGCTTATCATGAACATCGATTTTCTACTAGCCTAACACTAACTCTTTGCTATATGTTTTGTTGGAAGCAACTCTCATGTTTAATTGTCATTCTTGGGTTTGGAATGCTGAACAAATTGTTAGCAATGAGATAAAAAGACGTGGATGACGTTAACTCATCATACTTCCTATGCTTTGGGCTACATTGCTACTATGGTCGAAACACAGAGTTGCGATTCCACAATGCTGAGCTAATCATAATAACGCATGCTTAGTTTGGATTGCAAGTTGCAACTCGTGTGCTTGAAGCTAGAAGCACATCACACTATGGCAAAGTAACATTTACAGTTTATTGCATCTTCCACTTGATGGTTGGCTAAGAGATTATTTATGATTAAACTCTCTGTATTTTTAACTACACATTTAGCTTATTTTGAGAGAAAATGTTAACTAAGCGAACTTCATTAATTCATTGATGTCATATTTACTATGTAGGATTGAATACTGCTTATTGTTTGGAAATTATTTAGTGCATGCAGAGTAGAAAATAAAAATAATTTCAATTCTCAATAAGGATATGTTTTTCATTTAGATAGAAACTGTGATAGGAATTATAACTTTATTGAATTCTGTAAACTCATTTGCGTGTTTTGAACACAAACAATCACGATATGCAATCTAAAGATATCCAATTGTCCAGCCTCCAATGAAAATTCACACAAGAAACAAGAATGAAAAAATTGGGATTTCTCATTTCTTGTGCCAGCAAGATAATAATTGTTATGTTATAATTTCCCAAACCCTAATAGCTTAATAGAAGAAATACAAGAGGGCTTAGCCCGACACTTGAACTTAACATTGTCCAATGTTTAATTAATCTAAGTAATTAAACGAGGTCCATTAATTAACCTGAATTAATTTGCTCATTAATAAGTAACTCAATTAATTAATTGTTTAGTATTTATCAATTAATTAAATAATATATTTCATTTTTCTAGTTCTCCTTTTACATGCGACGTACTAGATTCCCGATTACGGTACCTAATGAAATGAATTATATTTTGATTTAATCAAAATCGATTAATTAAAATACTCATTTTTAATTTATCATCAATTCACATCGATCGTCCCAAATTGACATCTAATAATGTGTCAAGGCAATATATGTGACAAAAATGTCACGTGGTATGACAATAAATTTTTTTCGTTTACCATAAAACTATAATCCTTTCATCAATATGATGCGATCAATTACGAGATATGAATGTATGTCAATCTCAATTATCGATCATATTTTTCATCTTACTATTAAGTCAATGTTCAACTTATGAGTACACATTTATCAAGAATTTCGTTATCAACTTAACTGAATGAAGTGTAGATCATAATTTCTTACTATTTAAGAGTGACGAATCTTCTATATCATTCACAACTTTTATATAATTCTTGACATACATGCTATATTAGCAACTCTTGATAGAGCAACATCCCTTATCACCAAAGTATGATTGTCCCCATATAAAGCATTATGATGACCTCAACTCAAATAACCAATTTCACTATCGAACATTAGAGATTAAGCACGACACTCCGATAGTTTTCTATGTGGACTCTCTAGCGGGTCTTTATTAATTTGTTCTCAAGACATTCACGTGTTCATTTAAAATATCACCACACTTAAACTTGTGATATCAACTATTTATTTCACAAGTAAGAAATGTTACCTGTGATGGTCTATCTGCAATAATGATATATGTATATCGTTATTACTTACGATTATGGATGATTTAAGTTTCAATTATATGTTTGTATTCCAGAATCACAACTACTTGTAAATTAACAGATCACTAAAACTTGAATCTACTGATTCTATTATTTAATTTATTAGAATATTAAGTCAATTAAATAATAGATTTGTCATAAATGAAATTTATCGGAGGTTATTATATTACCACTACAAAATTTGTTTACTACACCACAATTTTAAATATATGT